TGGTGGTTAATTTTCTGCCCAGGCTGGCTTTGAATCATGGTGCTCAGATCCCAACCTCCCAAGTAGCTAGGATTATACATGTAAGACACGGTGCCTGGCTCTGTTAGGCTTTTTGGTTATCCATCATTTCATATACAAAGAAAAATAGTTTAGTTCCTTCCTTTCCAACATTTATGCTCCATTTATGTCCTTTTACATTCGTTGGGACCTCTTCAATAGATGTGCCTCATTTATGATAGTAATAATTGTAATAAAGACAGTAATCTTGTCTTTGATTTGATAACAATAGTGTTGTTTTGGTCTTCAGTAAAGATTGTGATCAGTGAAGGGCATTTTCTTTACTGTGTTAGGAGATACCATGGAGAATTTTCTGTTGGATATTATCTAAAATACTGAATAGCATATGTTGTTCTAGCTTTCGACAAGACTCTCAACCAAGTACTGTGGCATAGAACACAATCTATTATAGGATAAAATTCTTGGAGTCAAAAAAGTTACCTCCTGGGTAGAGAAGAGATAAATTAAGGAAGGAACAAGTACTCATACTGGTGGAAAATCATGATTGTATTTTCTTCCCAAACAGATTTATTCCCACAGAGCATCGGCAACAGAAAGTAGAGAGTCCTCAAGGTAAATGGGAGTCTGTAAATCTTCCAGTGAAGATCTGAGAACTGGAGGGGCTCTAGAACTCATCTGTTTCTATCCCCTAGCCTTACAGTGGGGAGGGGCACTACTCAAGGTAGAGAGAACTCTTCCTTCCCAGAGGTCTTACCTGGCTCCAGCAAAAGAAGTTCCTCAGCAGAGGCAGAGGTAGCCAGTACTGGCATGGATAGTTCTCTGTCACCAGTCCTTCAGTGAATGAGGGTGGGAGACTGAGAGGTTTCAGCTGTGTCTGCTCCTGCTATTGGTGGGCCTCCGGAGACAGTGTAAGAAATCCGTGGGGTGTTGGGGGATAGGTCTGGTGGAAGGGGGGATGTAGGGGTGGGTCCTTTACAGGGATAAGAAAACTCCTCATCCTGCTGGGTACCTTCTCATCCCCACTCTCGTTCACATCTTTTAGGTAAGAGAGACCTCAGATGCTAATTTATCATTGCTTTTGTAATAAAGAGAAGAGAAAGGGGAAATGTCTTGCAGCAGGGTCACACTGCTCAGGAGGTTTAGGAGAAAAGGGTTCTTTTCCCTTATTACATGAGGACACATTTAACCAGGACACACATGCAATGCAGACATCCACAGTCTCAAGAACCACAAACTGATTTTTCCTGTTCTGCTTGCATTCAGAAACGATAGCTTGCCTTTAAGTGCTAGTCATGTCCTTTAAATTGATTTCATAAGTCATTCATCATGACAGCCTTTCAGAGATGAAAATGTCTAAACTACACAACTTTAGAAGTTGTGCTTGCTAGGACTCAGCTTATGTAAAAACAGCTAAGATAAAACAGCTAAGAGAACAGAGGGGTATCTCCTTCTCCCAACAACTGACACATGGGAGACTTAGTCCAAAGAGGACTGAAGTGAAAGGCTCTAGAGAGATCAAATGCTTCTGTGCAGAAGAGTTGAGCAGTTGTTTATGTGCAGGGATTTTTGGCAGAGAACATAAGTGGGGCTGGCAGTCCACCTATGCTGCAGGCCAAGTCATTTCTAAAGGTCTCCCTAGAAGCATTGTAGAGACCTTTGAGACAGACCTGGGAGGCTCCTGCAACTTCTGTCTGCATGCATGGAATTGTTTTCAATCCCCATGCTAGGATAGCCTTTGCTCATTGTGATTATGAACCAAAGTATGGGGATTTCTGTCAGTAAGATCTGAGATGTACACTGTGAGAGACATGGAAAATGGCAGGAGTCATTCTTTGCTTCCTCTTCCCCCCAAGGAGCTTTTTTGGATTTCTGCGAAGGAAATGCTCATCAGAAACTACAAGTCAGGCAAGTTAAGGACTTAGTTCTGTGGCCAGAAAAGGGAAGCGAATGTAGAATTAATATTTCTCCTTGTCTTTCCTAGGAGGGCTTCTCCTTATGGCAACCAGTTTGGCTGAGGGATATGTACAGACCTCTCAATGCCACACGCAAGAAAAGCATGGCCAACAAGCTACATGACAGGGACTCTTCCGATGAGGAAGAGAGTTTGCATAAGAAGAGAAAAGGGTAAATGTCTGGGGGCAATTCAACATTCCTAGCTAACAAGGGGAGGCAAGGAAAAGTCTAGTTGCTTCCTTCAATACTGAAAGCCTGGTATTGTTCCTTTTACAGGGATCCCAGCCAGTGACATTGTCATAGAAATTCCACCATCATCATCACCACCACCAGCCTCACCACCACCTCCTCCTCCACCTGCTGAAATTAGTCCACCGGTGATCCTGGGTGTTGTGGTGCTGTGCGTGCCTCATAAGTCTGAGACTTTTACACTTGGACTCTCACATTGTTTATTCCACACCTAATTTCTAACATTTGCTAACATTTTGGCATACTGTTTCCTCAGATTAAATTGTATACAATTCATAACCATTTCCATGGGTGGTACTTACATATATGTGTGCAGATAACAGGGGCACAGGCAGGAGCGGCAGGACTGTGGCGAGGGCTGTGTCATGGCAGTCATGCTTGCAGAAGGTGTAGGTGGCTTCCAAAGAGGACATCCTGCCTGCATTCTCTCAGTGTAATCAACTTCTGGGGAACAAGAGAATATATCCTCAGCATGTAGGTTTGGGGTTTTGTTCAAAATCTCAAAATCTGCCTATTTTCTGGGAAGTTTCTGGGTAGTGATAGAAGTCAAATATGGCTAAGGAAATTAAATGAAAAGGAGAGCTATAGATTCTTCTGGAAGTTCTAAAGATCCTAAAAGTGGGACTGGAGGAGGTGAGAAAGGGCCCACATTACTTATCACTATAAATAGATGCACATTCGGGCCTGAGACTTGGCTTCAAAGCAAAACCTTTGCTTTGGGGGCAGCTGCCTGGCACTAATGGGAAATATCCAGACCAGGCTTATGGGTTCCTCAAGTCTCTTCTTTTATATGTAAGAGATGAACCTTTTTTTGAAGCTTAGCCTTCTAAACCCTTTCTTTGAAGCTTAGCCTTCTAAACCTAACTCTGCCCACTTGGAGACAGGTTTGTCACAGGCAGACCTGTCTGGATCTTTAAACTTTAAAGCCCGTGGTTTTGGTTTATGAAGAAGCAGTCATTTACAAAGAGCTTGACCTTCTGTCTTCAGGCCATTGTTCACTTCTAGCCACCTTCACAAGATGTCATGGTCACCAGAATGCAGGGGTCAGTGAGACTGCTCCTCTCTGGAATCAAGTCTTTTTCGCAGGTTCTCAAACTCACAAAGTAATGTGTGCCCTGTCGTATATGATTTTGTTACCCAGATCAGCTGCTTGAGAACTTCACATTGGTTTATTTTTCTTTTTAAAGACCTAGTACTTGCCCAACTAGCAGGAAGGTGCTGGAAAGAGTAGGGAAAGTACAATATGCACAGGGAGTCAGTGATTTCCCAAGATGGCCCTCCTCCTACCTTACTGCGGAAAGCAGTTGGTGAGGCCACTTCTCCCTTCACATGGACTGCTCCAGCCTCTCCTGTCCCACGAGAGCTGCCCAGCTCTGCTCAGCTTCACACATCTACTTCCTGCCCCAGTCCATAACTGTGTGCTTCCAACTGGTAATTTTCAGAGGGTAGAAAGGTTTTTCAACTTCACGCTCAAATTCAAAGTCCATTAATAATTCATTTAGAAGGTAAAGCCTGAACACATTCATGAGGAAAAGAATATAAAAAATGAATAAGAACAGAAAATTCACCTACTGACTATCAGCAAGCTTGGACAGTCCCATTTTCTCATCTCACGGTAACATGAGATGAAGGATGGATATATCCTCTTGGGTCCTCTAGTTGAGCAGTGAATGGAATAGAGTCATAATGTGCAGCTGTTCAGTTCCTCCTCTGGCTGATCAGTTAGCCAGGGCTGGCCTTATGACCCCTGTTCTCTTGAGGCCTCCCAAAGCTAATTCCTGAGAATAAAGATGTTTCTCTTTATGTAGTCATTAAAATGAGTGATAATAAAGTGTTTTTACTGAGTTGAAAACACAGGACTAGTAGTAATCACAAGCAGCAGCAGTAGCAGGAGCTACCAGCTATACAATTGAATTACCTGATGCCAATCCCTAGCTCAGACATTTCACAGTCGTTTATTATTTAGCCATATACTCCATAGAAGCATAATTTGCTTTTTGTTTTTGTTTCATTTGATACCTAAACAGCAGAGCTCACAGAATGCAGGTTACCTGCCTAGGAACCCAAAATCACACATCCAAAACCAGAGGTTAGGATTTTAACCAGGACAATTGAAATTCCAAAGCCTCCTAATTATTCCACAGCCTGGTTATAGAATACAGGCTTATGGAGAGAGATAAGTAGTGCTACCATCACAAATAATGACAGTGACAATGTGGTCAGTAATGATGACAATGCTGAAGGGGAATATGATGGCCATTACTTTAGTGAGCATCACCTACAGGCCAGGCATAGTACTCAGCATTTAGTTCAATGTTACAAGGACCTAAACTCCCCAGCCCAGCTTATGTCCTCTTTCAGTGGGGACATGGGTATTTCTCTTAATAAAACTATTGGGCAAAAAGACAAGAGCTCACTACAAAGCAATTCTATTGCTAGACATCTCAAAGATTATACCAAGATTACAGGCAATATTGGGTTTCTGTTCTGACATATTTCCCTTACTTCAAAATAAGACATGATATCTATGTAAACCTCTCAATTTGATACAATTAAATTTTACAGTTGGTTGAAACTGAGGAGATCCTGCAGTGTTCAGCTAGTCCTAACTGTGGCAGAGTGTATGTCTGAGTATGTCTCTTAAGTGAAACCTGCGTAAAAGAGAGATGTCACCCAGACCAACAGCCTATGTATGAATGAAAATTCTCACAATTTTAGTGCAACATGTCACAGAAAAGAGAGATGATAGCATGAGGCAATAATATGATTAGGATCTATGTGGTATGAGATGAGGTGTGTCTTTTTCAGAGGAGGGAAATCAGAGGTCCTAACAAGAGTGCAGAAAAGAGATGGAACTTGAAGTGAGGCTTCATAATAAACTTGTCTAGGACAGAATCTCTTTCCTGAAGGCTCTCCTAGGCTGGGAAGATGGATAGACAATTCATATTGAAACCACAATGAGTTGGGTATGACAATGACTATGGACCAAGAGTGGCTCAGCTCTGGGTTAACTAGAAAGGAGAAGATATGAGGGGATATTTGGAGGAAGGAATGTGAAATAAAGGGCTTTTTAGCTGCAAGAGGAAGGAAGGCATCTAAAAAGTAGAAGTACAAAGGTACAGAAGCACAAATCCTCAAGGTATGCCTGCGCTGTGTATAGTCAGTCTGTGTTCTAGAACATGACATCAAGGAAGAAAAAGAAGAAATGCTGCAGATGGCCCAGTGACAGGGACCTGTCCCACAGACCCTGGCGAAGGCACAGCCACCTCAATATGAACAACTGATGGGTTAAACAGCACAAACATGATCAAGCTTGGGTTTTAGGATGGTCCTTTGATGGTAGCTTAAAAGAGAGGGAGCAGGAATTAATGGGGGTCAGGGGCTCTAGGAATTGGGACAAAATGGGGCATCAGACAGGTGTGATACACTTTGGGCTTTGCAAGCTCAGTAAGTAAATAAAAAAATTAGGTTCCCCTTGCTAATGAGATCATCCCCCTCAACCAAGCAGTATTAATAGTAGGATGTTTCCTGTTTCCCCAGTCATCTAAAGAATGTTATGTATTCCAAAATAAGCTCCCTCCCTGGAAAAATTCCAGCCTTGGTACCCCCAGTCCTGATAAATCTGGTCTGACTTACCTTCTGAGAAAACTTTGGAGGCTGAGAATGTGGCTTAGTGGTAGAGTTCTTGCCTAGCATGCATGAAGCCCTGGGTTCAATTCTTCAGTACCATATAAACAGTAAAAGCCAGAAGTGGTGGTGTGGCTGAAGTGGCAGAGTATTAGCCTTGAGCAAAAGACACTCAGGGATGGTGCCCAGGCCCTGAGTTCAAGCTCTAGGACAATAAAAGAAAGAAAAAAACAAAGTTTGGGAGATTGAGCTTCCATCCTTAGCACTTCCTCCCCTCTCCACCCTCTAAAAAATAGCACATGATACTCAAAGCAGAAGTGGTAAGGATGGCTGACATGGAGCCTGTTAAACAATAATGTTGGGAGGAGGATTTGGCACCACATGTGGAAGGCTTGCCTTGTAGGGCTGAAAGACACAGATTTCCTGTGAGTGCTATGAAACCTTATGTAGATGGGAGCCAGGCCCTGGAAGATGAAGCAGTGATACAGAGTCTGGGACACTAATACTAAGGCCACAAGTAGCCCTGCCTGGACTTTCTAACTGAATTATTACATGCCAATTCAATATGCTTCTTACTCAACCCAGTTTGTTGGATTTCTCTTTGTAGCAGCTGTCCCTACAACAAATGAGTTATCTAGGTGGGCACAGTGGTCTAAACTTGTAATCCCAGTTACTATGAAGGCAGAAATAGGGAGGATCACAGTCTGAGGTCAGCCTAGACAGAAATTTAGGAATACCCCATATCAAGAAACAAGCTGGGGGCTGGGAAAGTAGAAAGATGGCTCTCCAGGCTAGACTAAGAAAGCACTAAATGCCATCACTAAGAATAACTAAAGGGAAAAATAAATTGGATGTGGCTCAAGTAATATAGCACCTTCCTAGCAAGTGTAAGACCCTTGGTTCAAAATCACTGTGTCAGAAAGCAAGCAAGCAAGAAAGGAAGGAAGAAAGAGAAAGAGAGAAAGAAGGGAAGGAAGGAAGGGAAAAAAGGAAAGAAGAAAAAAGAAAAGGAAGAAAGGAAAAGGAGAAAGGAAAGGAAGGAAAGAAAGGAAAGAGATAAAAGAAGGAAAGAGAAAGGGAAGGAAGGAAAAAGAAGGAAAGAAAGAAAAAAATAAATGATAGAGAAAAGAAAAGAAGGAAGGGGGAGGATGGGAAGGGATGGAAAAGGGAAACAAAGGAGGAGGCTATAATGCTTGATAAGAAATGTACTCATGATCTTGACCATGTAATTGTAACCCTTCTGTACAGTATTTTCACAATTAAAAAAAAGGAAGGAAGGAGAAAGAAAAAAAGAGAAAGAAAGGAAAGGAAAGGAAAGAAAAAAAGGGAAGAAAGAGAAAGGAAGGAAGGAAGAGGGAAAGAAAAATGGGTAAGAATGGCTCCTGGTCTGGTACCTGCTTATGATCCCCACTACTATCCAGGAATTGGAGGTAACCCATTATTATTCAAGGCTTGACTGGGTAACATTGGCACAAGACCCTAACTAAAGCGAAATTAAAGCAAAAAGCCATCGATGAGACCCAGATGACAGAGCACTTCAGGCTGGAGTGCCTCAGTACAGTCCTGGAGACTGTCCCAATACTGAAACTGTAAATACTTTAGCTATTTCTGCAATGATATGCTACAAACAGTCCTGAAGTCAGATTGAAATGATGACCCCCTATGAGACTACAGCTAGCTAATGTACTTATGCTCTAGCAGTAACTGACTGGTGTTCTTCCTGGGGCAGCCTGCAGAGGCAGTCGCTGCCCAGGGGAAGCTGCTCTTGTGTGAAAGAGGAAGTACTCAATGACCAGCAGATCATCATGAGGCCCTTTCAAGCTGACATTCAGAACTACACTTTTCATTTCTACTTCATCCCATGGACCAAACCAAGCCACATGGGTAAGCCCAAATTCAGGGGACAGGAAAAGACAGTTCACCTACAATGAGACCATGGATGCTGGGAGAGCAAGAAGTTGAAGGGAGTAATTCTATCTCAGTGGGAGATGAGCCCTGGTTTGGGCCTACTCTTGTAGTGGTTCACAGTGCAGTAAAGGAAGTACCTACAATTGTGGGGACTGTTCTCTATGAGCTCAGGGGCCCTGACAAAGCAAGAACCACATCTCTCTCCTCATAGCCCTGTTCCCATCCCCCAAAGCTTAGAACTAAGCCCTGCCTGAGGCTTGGCTATGGAATATTACAGATGCATTTGACCTTTGTTCTTCAGTATCTCCATGTGATTCCCTATGAAATACAGACTGACCTACTGACAGCCAGCATATAGTGCTATTTGCCTCATAAACTGTAAAGAGATAAGCACCCTTTGGAGCTGAGATCTGTACTCAGATGTGTGTGACAACAAATCCTGCAGCTGTTGCCTCCCAGAGGCATTTCCTGAAGAAAGGGCTAAACACCTAAGCAGGTTTGGTGAAATTTCTATCTCTATGAGCTGCTAGAAATGGGAAAGATTTGTATCACCTGAAGGATCCTATTCTATCAAGGGCCCATTTGAATTGGAAAAGATACATATCACCTAAAATATCCTAGAAGAGCGCTATCAAAAAGCATAAAAGTAGTTAGGGATGCACACAGACGAAGAATAATAGTCTTGACAGTGAGATTCCCCTGCAAAACGCTTACCTGAATTTCTACCTTTTGTCCTCCCTAGAGACTGATTTTTCCAAGCCTTAGGAGAGAAAAAAAAGTGATTAATCCTAAATAATCTCAACAAATGCAGACAGAGACCAAAAGGGTAGAGAGCTCCTAGTCCCCCAAAGCAATTATTCACTGTCAAGTCACCAATGCTCGGG